ATGGATGTATGGATGGATGGATGGATGGATGGATGGATGGACGGATGGATGGATGGATGGATGGGTGGATGGATGGATAGATTGATAGATACGTCTGTTCATCTATCTGTAATCTCCTATTGCCAAAGTAATTATAATGCTTTTCATAATTCAGCCCTTTCGAAAAAACGTTTACAGTTTTCCACGGTGCCTGAAGATGAAAACTAAAGCATTCAGAAAGTAAAAGAATAAGGGTGTGTTGATGGTTTGGAAAAGGGAAACCCTAAAGCCATTCCACTGATCGCAATATTAAAAGTGGATAGAAATTACACATTATAAGCTAAAATCGGCATTGGTAAAAACCTTCCATCATTTGGTCTAGTTATAATAATAATAATAATAATAATAATAATAATAATAATAATAATAATAATAATATTTAAAAAAAGATTAAAAAAAACCCATAACATTTATATTAGCATATTTCCAAAAAAAGTAGCTCAATGCGCTTTACTTTTTCAAAACCTTTTGTACTACTTTTGCCAAGTCATCAAGGGTTTGTGACTGAGTTGTGAAATCGATTATAGTAAATCAACGCTAACTGTATATTATATAGCAGGTGATGATGTAAATCGTGTTGTGATAAAAAAAAGGAGACGAAGGACCTGAAAGTCAGGCAATAACTGATGTATAACATCCCTGCCCAGTTTTCGTTTTCTGTGAGTGAGCTTTACAGAGGCAACTTTGCGCCATATTTCCAACAATGAAATCCCAAATCAGAGACACGAATTCGCACATTTCAAGGGTATGTGTGCATACTGTTGCCTGCTTCAAATTTGGAAAAAAAATCTGTATGAATAAAGAAGTATGCAACAATTTTAAAGAGCCCCGAAATAGTGCGTCTTGAAGTTTTGTCGAATGACCAATGCGCATGTCTCAAGTTCTCAAAATGAGTTATAAGCGGAAGTTCCTAGATCACTCTTCTGTACTCTGAAGCATGAGAAGTTACGTAAAGTGATGCTGGGCTAAACCGTATGGATCTTTGTCTCTGAAAGGGTGGGGTTTAAAACATTCTCGAACATACTCGATTCTGCAAAGGCCCCCAACTTTTTTGTATCCAATGTCAAATATTTGTTAGACCTATAATTTTCCCGAAGAATGCGTAATTAAAAAAAGAAAAGATATTAAGTAAAGAATAGAACAGAAGAAGATAATGTAAAGGATAGATGATAGCATGCATAAAATGGGAAATTTGCAGCTATCTAGACGAAGGTTTCAACGCGATGAAAGAAATTCCATGAAAGAGGGTATACCGCTTCTCATCCCTCCCCCATCTCACAAGCCTCCCACCAACTCTCCAAAAGCTTCAGATCACCCCCACCCTCCATCCCCGCCCCCAAAAAGTAGATAGACACAACCA